GTTGAGGAAGTAGTGTGATGAGTATTGCTGAATAAGAGAGTTACAGTTGAGGAAGGAGTGTGTGATGAGTATTGCTGAATAAGAGAGTTACAGTTGAGGAAGGAGTGTGATGAGTATTGCTGAATAAGAGAGTTACAGTTGAGGAAGGAGTGTGATGAGTATTGCTGAGCATTTAAAATGTTTATTTCCTTTTCCTCGATGTGGTTTATGTACTTATCAGAAATATACAGGGTTTTCATTATTATTAAGAGATGACACTACTCGAGTAGGCAGGTATCCTCCTCCAGTTGAGGATAGTTTAAAGTCAAGACTATCAGAAACTCCATTGTGTTTTTTTCAAACAACAGAATAAACACAAGTGACAACATGCAAGGGTAATCAGGACTTGAGTTTAACGGTCCTCCGTGACTACTAAAAACTTCCTCAAATGACCAACAAGGGAAATATTGGTACTGGCTAATAATGCTGTTTAGTCATTAAAATTTCTATTGTGGACAAGCTACGACTATGTGCTGTATGCATGTAAATTTTGTATGGAGTACAACTGAGCATGAATGGCTATGTGTGGTAACATGGTACAGTGTATACAGCTCAGTTAGTTACATTACCATGCATTGTATTGCTCAATCTTTATTTGCATATATATGGGCAGGTTGGAATTCACAACAAATATGAATGGCAATAACACAAATATTTAGTGAGATTTAATTTCTAATATAGATGCTTACGACAATAAAACTAACATGACTGTCTCAACTTCTTACCAGTAAACCTTTTGTAGGAATTAAAACGATCATACTTACAAAATCAAACTCAGAATTTTCATCATCAATCATCATAGTTCAATCACTGACCACCTTTTAATTACACGCTTATAGGCCTAAGGTAACGTTATACAGACACGACCAATGAAGTCTAGGAAATACGGAAGGCCTAGCTACCATGAGAAAAGTGGGAAAATCCAGATCATAATAATGATAACTGCAAACAAAATTTTATGAAAGTTTTGATCAGCACTAAATAGAATAACAATAAATAAAATATGGCTAACTTTGTCTCTCTCCAAGTCAATACAAGCTACAGGTATGAACGACAATATATATCAGTGGTGTGTGTGTATACATATTATGGTATCATAGTTTGTGTGAGAGGTCAAATCCAAATTTAGTATTACTACAAGATGTACTTTACTGTACTTGGTGGACTGGCCAAGCTGGTTAGAGTGAAAACATTGAACATGATTGACCAAAATCACTGTTCTGTTTAAAAGTTTTACACGTCATTGACTGTTTATTTCCTTAAGATACTATGTAACATTAGCATAGTTTGGGCTTATTTTTTCCAATGTAACGAAACTTCCTGGGAAATAAAATGTCAAAAATTAGTTGAATAAAGATGCAGAATTACCAACTAAACATTAATTGTACTTTTTGTAAATAAATAAATAAGATATAAAAACATCAAAGTTCTTGTAATTGGGTCTTTTTAAGGGTCTTCAGACATCAATATTGTTGTAATTGGATCTTTTTTGAGGGTTTATGTTTTGTTCTTTTTTGGACAACCAGTACAGCCTTTTGGACAACATCTGATACAGGTCAGGTCTTCTGAAAGACAACCTGGAAATTTCCTTAAAATTGAGCTCTGATAATAAATATAAATACGTTTTAACAAAAAGAGGTGTTTTTAACACATTTTGTATAATTACCATGACTTTGTTCTATGAAGCAGACAAAACTAATCAGTACATTTTAAAATGTTTTTCTTTTGTGTGTTTTCCAACTTATTGACAAATTCAGTAACTGTATAATGACATTTTGGTACATCTGGACGAGCAGAGAATGGGCACTAAATGTACACTGCTGACCATCTGATGGGAATATATGGTCATACAATGTACGATACTGTATAATGATGTTTTGGTACATCTGGACGAGCAGAGAATGGGCACTAAATGTACACTGCTGACCATCTGATGGGAATATATGGTCGTACAATGTACGATACTGTATAATGATGTTTTGGTACATCTGGACGAGCAGAGAATGGGCACTAAATGTACACTGCTGACCATCTGATGGGAATATATGGTCGTACAATGTACGATACTGTATAATGATGTTTTGGTACATCTGGACGAGCAGAGAATGGG